GCTCTTCTCTCTCCTGATCACAAAATGAGGTTCTTCCTGGGTTTTCACTGCATGGTTTCTCTTGGATAGTTGTGTTTTTCTCAATGGGGAGGTAAGGACAAGAATTGCCTCTGGACATGGGACCTGGAAAGGGTCAGCAGCATGCTTTAGAGCAAAAGGAAGCTTTCCAAGCACTTTCAAGGTGATGCCCCTTTCCCTCCTTCCGTAGTCTGCCTGGGATAGGAGAGGGATGGACAAAACATGCTGAATCCTCACCAGCTCCCAAAATGCATGGATTTGCAAAGAGTATGGGATGATCTGTACAAAGATCCTGGTGCCTTCACAAATAAGTGGCACTACAGACCTCCTGAGGGGACAAACAGCTGCAGCTGCTTACCAGAAACACCCTTGAACAGTTCATTGCAATGGGCAAGGAAAATTAAAAGAAAGTGTGCATACTGTATCCTTGCCGTTCCTTGACCTCTGAAAGGCTCTGAGGCTCAAGCTCACTTTTGCTAGGCTTTCTGGACCCTTACAAGGGTCTTATGAAACCCACCGACCTTCTTGGCAGGGTGCCATCACACACCTCTCCAGTGTGAAACGGTGGTCGTTGTCGGTGTACAGGCAGTCAGCGCTTAGAGGCAGAGGAAGACTGACCTTCTTTGGGTTTTGGGGAGTGTGTAACTAACTCGGCTGCCACCCCCACGACAGAAGAGAGCAGGACTCCAGGGCAAATGCTCTGGGTGGCGTGAAAGCCCGCTGGGACGTGAAACACAGCAAATATTTGGGAGGTTTGTTTTTTGGGTTGAGTGTTTGTTTGTTTTTCCCCACTGAGACGAGGGAATCGCCTCTGCGTGGGGTAGGGCAGTTGTCCCCAGGCGGGTCAGTCCCGCTCCGCGCAGCGGGCCGGGCTGGCCCCAGAGCCAGCTGCCCCCGCCTGCTGCCTCTCCCCGTCGCACAGCTCCTGAGGAACAGCCCCCACTGCCCTCCCTCACCCGCTTTCAGCTTCAGTGAAAATGCAGGGAGGGCATCGAGCAGGATTGCAGGTCTTGGCCATTCAAGCTCCCTTTGGGTGACAGGAATGGAGAAGGCCTTGCCTGAACGGTACAGCAAGGCAGACGGAAGAGCCATCATCTGGGGATCAGCGGCTGAGTGCAGCAGCCTCTTCTTGTGACTCCCGTAGCCCAGCGGAGCTGCCAGGCAGCGACCCTCGGCCCCACGCCTTCCCCTTTGCAAACCATCGAACAGGCACCGTCACTCCAGCTTCCTGCCACCGTCTCCCAGCAAGGCTGACGGGCGGAAGGAGAGCCCTCCAGCGCAAAGTGAGCTGCTTGCAGGCAGCCACGTGTGGCTTGACGGGATGCAGCTGGCAACTGCAACAGGTCCGGAGGCACTGCCCAGGTCTCCTTCTGGGCCACGCTGTGGGGAGCAATGATCTCCGGTGAAGGGACAGTAACGAACAGCCGGGAGTGCGAATTCTTCAGCTTGCACAGCTGGATCTGGGGAAGGGTGTGTGCCTGTAAAGTATCTTTAAACATCGTTATAGAGCTGTGTCAACAATTCAGGCTTGTACTGTTTTAACTATTCCAGCTAAAACTCACATATGCATGTGAGTTAATATTAATTATTAATTAATTAATATTAATTAACTGCATATTAATACTGGCACAAACACTTTGTAGGTCAGGCTTAAGACTATTGAAGGTGCAGGCACTTAGAGGACTGAGTACTGCCTATTTGTAAAGCACTTTGAACATACATCACGCTGTAAGTGCCAAGTGTTATTTCTGTGTGAAACAGCCATGTTTGGCTTAGTGGTTCCCAGGGTTTGCAAGTGGAAAGGGTGAAGGACAGGACAAGCCTCAGCTGCATCACAGAGCACTCGCAGCCCACCACGGGCTCTGCCTTCCCCACTGCTGACCAGCCGAGAGGAGGGAGAGGAAACCGCGCTGGCAGGGACACCTGATGAAGCGGAAAGCGTCAGCTGCCCCCAGCAAGAGGACGAAGTGCTGATAAGCAGACTCCAGAGGATATGAAGATAGATTTACTCCTCCCTTCTCCCACAGGGACTTCTCATGGTGGCTTCCAGGACCCTCTTAAGACTGCGCCGTGATGATAATGCACAGCTGAGACCCCATTAACATCATCTCTGCTTCTGAAACTACCTGGAATACATTGGTACCAGCAAATCCCACTGACCAGAGACGAACGAGCAGCTCTGCACAGGGTCAGGGTCCTGACCCTCTAACCAGGCGCACGCTGGTCTGCATCCACCTTGCAAACACCGCGAGGGTCTGTGGAACTGAACGACTTGGGAGCATGAGCGTAAAATACTCCAGTTAGGAACAGTAACTACGTGTGACAGGCATGGAGGCACAGAGCCCAGACGTCATTAAGGTAGTTTTTATATTTTGAAAAGCAATATTAAAAAACACTGAAAAATACAAGGTAAATGTAACAGTTGCTTCTACAAGTTTTAACCTTATATTGCTTGGCCATTTTGACATATAAATTATTGCTTACTAGCTCTCATAAATACACAACACAATAATATGTACAGAGGCAGACAAGCATGAAATCTGAAAAAGAAAACATTGGCAACATTGATTCTGGTAAATCAGATTATTTCATACATACCAGGTCTCATAACGGAGGATAACTACTAGCTGTAGTCCCTGAGAAGTTAGGTAAATACCTTGATTTGGGGTTTTCTATTTTATTACTTTAAATGCAAGCCGACAGCATTATGGCACTCAGAGAGAATGGAACAGGCAGGTGTTCTTAAATCAGCTCACTGACTTCATCCCAGTATTTCTTAATAGTGTAATAAGATGACAATAAATAGGCTATGCAAATAAATATTATTCTGCTAAAATGTTTAGTATTTACACCTTTCCTTGTAATTTTACAGAAGCACGTCTTACTACTTCTGGTAACACCTTTTTCTTTTTTGCCACTGTCATGCAAATACAATTTATTCCTATCTATCTGAGACGGGGCTGGAATCAAAAAGATGTGTCATAGAAGCACCTAGATTTGATGCAACAAAATCCTACATCAAAGAGGTATAAAGTGACCCAGCTTTTTCCTTTGTTCTGTCTAATTACTCCTCCTACCTACTAAGGAAAATATGCAGAGTATTTAACCCCAGGTGTGATTGTGATAAACTCAGATTCATGGATTTTATCCTATGTAACATAATTGCGCTATTGAAGGATTTAAAAATCACACAGTATCACCAGTGCTGGACCCTGGCAGAGGTTGGGTAGTGACCCCCTCTCTTTCACAGGGTTTACTTCTGGTTCTCCTCTCAATCACCACACCTTCAAACTGCTTGCCAGTCTGCAGCCCAGCTCTGCAATGCTTCTGTTGAATGAAGACTCTGACGGGCCTTTTTTTGTAAGATATGTTAGTTTCAGATTTGGACTATTTGCCCTTCCTTTATGGTAAATTATCATATCCATATTTTCCATGTGAAATTGATGCACCCAAGTTGGCCCCTCAGGCCAGAAAGTTATATTCTAATTATACAGGCCACTATGAAAACTAGCTTGTAAAGTTTTAAACAGTAGTCTAATTAGCCACAACACAGATAACAAAGTTAATTCTGGCTATGTGCCTTCAAACGGAGTTTATGCCAGCTGCAAGGGGTAGATAACACTTGATTTAGTATAAAGTTACAGAGGTGCAGATAGCCAAGGCCCCAGCTGGCTTGAAGCCTAATGGTACAACGTTAACCAGTCCATCTACTTCAACCAGTTTGACCTGGCAGAGTTGAGGAGCCTTCAAGGTGGCTCTAGCACGCTTTCAAAGCAAAGCCTGAGCGTAGAGTCATCTTTCTACTTCTGTTTTCTTCTTTCTTTCTTTTTTTTCCCCTCCTTTCATTTCCTTGTCTTTTATTCTTCTCTGGCACCACTACTGCTATCATCATCGGTAACTACCAAAACAGAGCCAAATGCAGTGAACTGAGGAACAGGCCCACTTTCTCACCCTGAATACCTTCTCATGCTCCTTCTCCCACAGATTTCAAGAGAACTTGCGGACTAGAGTGTTACACCACGTGAGCTAAAGCATGCAGGCTGGTCTACATACAGGCTCCTAAAAATAATGCCACATTAAAAAGATTTCGCAAGGGGGAGCTCAAAAACCATCAAACCACCCAGGTAATGCGTGTAGGTGGGGATCGGGGGAGTGCTGTACGTAGCCAGAGGAAGAACTGCAGTAACACAAGCATCAAATTCTATCAAGTTTGTGTTCTTACATTGCAAAAAGGAGCCCATCGCAGCTAGTATCCTCATCCAAACAGTTTTGGTCTGTTTGCACAAAAGAGTTATTTACAATATCTGCAGTCACATCTACAGAAGAACATAGGAAATTTTTACTCCATGGCCAGCAAGAGTTTATTTTTTTTTCTTTTTACTGGGTAAAAAGAAGATTTTTTTTTTTCTTAAAAAAAAAAAATCATATAGTATTTGATAATAACAAAGTACAAGCAAATACATTTCTGAAACATTTGTTTCCTTTACAATAGATCTATACAATATTTCACAGATGGGAAAACCAAACGCATTCTACAGATTCCCCCCCAGACTACTTGTTAAAGCTGCTTTTTTTTTTTTTTTTAAATCCCTTTAAACCAGAGATAACACAATGATGAAGAGCATGCTACTTCAGTATTCCCACATCTCAGTAAAGGACCATTTTCTTGGAAGTCTTCCTCATGTGGAAAACATACAACAGAGATGGGCAAGCAATGCAACGTATCCTCGCTGCTCTGTAAAGGGACCACTACCACGTGTGCCAGACCATGTAGCACGCTGCACGTTGCCTGTGGCATTCACTGGATTATTTCAGGGCAACTTCTTAGCACTGAAAACCACAGCTATGGTGATGGTGGTGCTTAGATGTAGGTCAGCTGTAGACAAGACTTTAGAAATGCTGCCTCAGTACATGCCCAGAAGTAGTACTTTTAGCTACATGAGAATTGGCTAGGGGAGGGGTATGAGAGGGACAGAAAGGGACTCTAATGCTGAGAGCCCAGTGTGTATGCAGGTAATTACACTGGCACCCTGTAAGGTGTACCCTTTTTTCCTTTAAAAACTAGAAGCGTGGGCAAGTTAGGTGAAGTTTTACCTGCTGAAACAGTATTTCCAGGAGGTGAGTTAGGAATGTAGGTGGATCTAAGCATTGCCTCTGAATAGACACCAAGCAGGCTGTAATCCAAGCAGAAAACAAAGCTCCTGCTGTAATAATTTATAACATGTTAACTGCAGGAGCTGGTGCTTAATCTGATATAACTGAAAAGGAAGAAAATAACGTGCTTTCAGTGTACAAACAATTGTGTCCAGAAATTGCAACAAAAGTGGATTGGCTCTTACAGTGTGTTTTATAAAGCAGATTCCTAAGGGGCCATAATAGTGTGAACTGTTTACTGCTGACCTCCACATCACGACGTGCTCTTGAGTTTCATCTGGTGTGCTGCCTTTTTATATTCCCATTCCTGGTTGTCTGCACTTATCTCAAATAAGATGCTCCAGTGGACTCAGGGGAGCTGCACGGATTGCACAGTTTTTGGCAACAACATTTTGGCAGCCTTGAATTGGTGAGGTACATACAGCGGTGAAATGAGAATCAGCCCCTTGCGGCATGTTGCTTGCTGAAATGTTTGCTGCTGTGACAAAACGTTTCCTTTCATTCTAACACTGGCAGAATCTGCATTGAAAGCTACACTGGACCAAACAATATTTTCACAGAAACCAAGCTCCTGAGCTCAAAGGATGCTGCTCCGCTCCCTCCATCCCGGTGACCAGCGGGGATGGCACCAAGCTTGCCCTGCAACTCTGTGAGCAGCTCCTTTGCTGGCTCTCGCCTGATTTTCCTGCGCATGTTGTGTGAGCTACTGATAAAACTCAGTAAACTGTTCTTATATAGGGAAGCAACATGCTTGGTATAAACATTCACTTAATTCAAAGTGCTGCAGTTACAAGGTTATATGAAGCTGTGTACGCTCACGCTCGCGGCTCTATCCTGTGAGAAAGCTCAAACAGAGCTTGCTGGCTGTCGATGACATGCAGGTGATGGACGTATGGCTTCAGCTCATGATGTTCTTTTGAAGGAACTTCATTGCCTGCAAGACAGGAGAAAGGGGATGGATCATAAAGCCATGCCTTGCCTGCTCCTCTGTTCTGGGTGCTACAAAGCCCCTGGTGTGCCACCCTGCCAGGTGCTCCACAGTCACAAAAAGGGTGGCCCGCCATCCCAACGACTTGCTGTTTTAAGTGCAAGGCGTGAGATAACAGCTAGCTGCAAAAAGGGGAGAAGAAAGAAAGAAGTAGGCAGCCGGCATGCACGAGGGAGGGACAGGTTGATGGCAAGAAGCTGACTCTTCCCAAGTGGAAGGTTTACTGCTGCTGGCAGTACAGGCAGCCCATCCCCAGTACGGGTGGTTCAAGGTTTCCTTTGTGCTGCCCTGGCAGCACAACAGGACCTTCCGCAGGGGTGAGCGACCCAGCCTGCAACTTTTAAACAACCCTAACACAAGTAACACAAGACAGCAGGCCCTCAAATCATTTTCTTTGGAGCAGGTGAAAGGTGACAGTGCAGCAGACGGGCAAGAAAGCTCTTCAAAGCTGCTCTGACAGGCCCCCACGTTTTGATCGGTTACGCTTTTGATTTCTGATCTAGTAACAAGACGAGAGTCATGCTGTCATTTCATGGGGGCTTACATGGCAAGAGGAATTAGCTGCCTAACAGACAACTTGAAGGGTGGCTCGAATAGCAGATGTTCTCTGTTACAGGTTTTTACACCCGACATCGGCTTGTGGGAACGTGCTGCCTGTGAAACCCTCCAGCATGGCTGGTGGTCAGCAGGTGTGGGAAAGGGAAGGCTAAGCCCATGGCCACGAGACCCATCGAGAGGCAGAGAAAGCAATGACACACGTTTCCCACACATTGCTGACTGCTGACAAACGAGTGAAGGTTGAAGAGCTCCATTCTAGTCCCTCTCCTCAAGGAACTTTTAATAACACTACCACAAATTAAAAAAGAAAAAAACCCCTCGAAATTCCCTGACCCCATCAGCTTAACTCGCACATTCCCTCTCCTTTGTTTCATTCTCATCCTTTTCTCCACGCTCCGCAGCTACACGAGCAGCTTTCCAGGAACCGACCACCCCCCGCTTCTGAAGAGCGCCCTTTGACGTGGGTGACCGGGGTGTGGGTGACCGGGGTGCCCATGCAGCCAGGTCTGCGGGCGGCTGCCGACGGGGCTCCCGGGCAGCTCTTTTCAGGTGCTATTTCTGAGCAGCTATCTGACTTGACAAACATGGGAGAGAACAGGTTGACGTGATAAATTTCTGCCGGGATACAGAGATGACCTCTCTGTTCCGAGGGAACAGGATCCCAGCAGCTTGTACTGAACATACTGAAACACATTTGTATTTCTCATTAGTACCTGAAATTACAAAAGCTTGAATTATGTTATTTGTTCAGGCTGCTTTGCCTTGTTTTGGAAACGCTGTTATTTGTCTTCAGGAGTTTGGATATAAAAGTATTGGAAACGCTATTATTTGTCTTCAGGAGTTAGGATATAAAAGTATTATTTCCATTAAAAAGGCATTTCAGTCTTGCTTGGAACCTAACCAGTTTTTAATCCAGAAAGATTTGGCCTGCAAGCTTAATACACGATACAGTTCATAAACAATAATAATATTCTTTGCTCAGTTTTGTTTCAATTCTTTCCTTCAGTGAGATGCCTGCTCTTCTTCGGCCAGTCTGGGAATCGATGCAGTAGAAAGATTCACATTCCTGAGAGCAAAATAAGCCCACTAGAAAAGGAAACTGTCCATAGAGCCTCAATAAATATTCAGTGAATTCATTTCATGCCTAAACGAATTTAAGAAAAAAGAAAAAAAGTGCCTACAGGGATGTCTGTATAAGCTACTTCTTAAATGTCAGCTTCACAATAAATCAAGTCTGTGGTAAAATAAAGTAACGATCACGTACTTCAAAATACTAGATTATGTGATAAATCTCAGGTATTAACCTTGGATTTATGTTGTAACACTTACAAAACCACTTGGAGAAAAAAAGCAAAAAAATGAAAGATTTGCAATGAAGCTGCAAAAAAAAAAATCACATCATTAAAAGGAACTGATGCTACATTTTATAACGCCAAATAAAAGACATTCTAACTTACAGAGACATGGTTTGGTTTAATCAGTATTTCCTTCAGTATCTGGTTTAACAGAATAAAAAGAAATGGCACGTCCTTCTCCCTCTCTTCTATACTTATATCAAAATAACACACAAAGTATAATAGTAAGCAGCCTTTGTTTAAAAAGCAAGAATGTACATACACAGGGTAATTCTATAGAACAAATATTGAGCAAAATTCTTAGCAGTACCTATCATTCTCCAAGGTACATGTATTTCTACACAAAATTATTATTATTTTTCTTTTTGACAAGAGTCCATGCTGACAGCTGCTGAAAATTCAGCTGGAAAAAAGAAAATTACTTAAGCTCTTTTTCCCCAAAGCTACAGCACAATTCTGAACTTCTCTTTGGAGAAGAGGCTTCAGTGGCCTCAATAAATGACATTTTTAATGTGTTTGGCTTAAAAACTCTAACCACTTCCTAAAGTAGTGTTCCGTTTGTCTCCTTCCTGTGTTTAACCTCTCTGCAGAGAATAAGAAATGCTGAGAAGGAGAAAAACAAGCTTTGTCCTCTGTGAGCAGCAGAACAAAGCAAGCTGGGGTCTTCTGGCATGGTCCCTTAAGGTTGGATTCCCTGGTGGCTAATAAGGTGGAAACACACAAAAAAAGGGCCTTTCATGCAGCTGAGGTACTTGTAACTGTTCCCATCAGCGCAGACCCTCCAGGCAGAGCTCTGTTTGCAGGCTTCCCCTAGCAGAGGCACTCACACAACCTCCTCGTTTCTACCTTGTCAACCACTTTCATGAAACCCACAGGATCTCAGTATCTTCAATACTTCTACCACTTTCTGAAATGTCCTTAAGAACCCAAGCTAAGCAAACAATTGCTCTTGGTAAAAAGCCAAGTGAAATGCTGTGGTGATGAATACCATCTTTTAGCTGCTGGAAGCCAAGACAGCTGTGAATCCATTACCAAAACACGGACTAGAAGGAGACTGAGGTAACTCAGTTACAGCCGGGAAAGTGAGAAACCCCAGTGTACATCACAGGCATCCATTATTATGTGCAGCTGGCACAGAGGTTACACAGTATTTTGAAGAGGTAATAATTTTTGCAGGAAAATAATTTATAAAAATTTCGGAAGCTGTTTCTACAAACATTTTTGTGAAATAAAATTTCATCCAACTGTGGTTTCTGCTATGTTGACCTTACAACAATGATGCGCCTTCTTGCCAACTGGTTAAATAATTTTGCTGCTGTAGTACATCCGAGCAAGTGGGAAAAAAAGAAAAACCCAAAACCCTCAAGGCTGTAAAAAGGCAAAAGTAGCAGCAAGTTTTGGTTACTCACCGAACTGGTTATTTCTACAATGTCTCAATGATCGAACAGTATCCGCAATCATGTGCTGCAAAGACAAGATATAAAACATCAGTGCAAAAATCTGAGCTGGATTCTCTCATTAGAAAGGCCTGAAAAAAACCTTCTTGTCCTACACTGTACAGCAAAAAGCAACTGTAGTAAGGTAGAAAATGAAAACAGCAGGAGAGAGACTTTGCTCTTTGTCTTAGTGATAATATATAATGAAACAAGGTTAGTCTAGAAGGTCTTTACTGATATTACACAGATTAGATGAGAACAACTTCCTAAGAGCCCACAGAAAGTGGCAATGAAAAATAGCCAAACAATGGGTTATTTTTGTTCCTGTGACTTTTATTAAACTGAAAGCCTACAGCAGGGAAGTCCTGTGGCCTAGGTGGGTGCTTCTGCATCCAACCCCCAGCTTCAGTGCATTATTGAGGGCATTTGGTAGTCTGAAGCTTCTCCTTTGTCTCCACGTTGTCTAATTAGGCTGTAAGCCCTTTGCACCACAGACTACACCTTAGTGTATACTCGTACAAAGCCTAGCACAATCAGGCACCAGTATCAGTGAAGCAGTTTTCTGCAGTGTGATAACCAACACCAAAAAACCCGGCCCATACCCTAAATGCTGTAGAGCAAGCACTCTGACATCTCTGCAGACATGTACTGAAGACAACTATACTGTAGGCATACTATTTTAGGAAAAACTGGTGCTAAACAGAGGTATTGGATGTCCACTTAGATTAAGCAGAGGAAATAAAAGGTTTAAGTTTGGTTTCCTATTCAGGCTCAGGTCTTCAACTTATGAAAACTGGAATTGTTCACTGGAAATCAGTGGGCTGCACTCATTTTCACTAGATTTCACCCATAAAGCTCTTGAGGCATTACATATTTCTCTTTAATTGACTGCTTCTGTGGTATAAAGGTGAAATTGGCAACTCTTCACCACATCTAGTAACTAATTTAAGCAAATTGCAGTTATCAGGAATGATATAACAACTCATGCAAACAGCTGATGCTCTTCTCACATTTCCCTCAAAAATAATCAAGAGGCGGAAAGGATTAACTGTCTTGAGCAGAGTATGTTTAAGACCAGAATGACACAGAATGGCTCATCTCTCAATACCAAGAGTGGCTTACAAGGCTCCTCTACAGAAAAGCTTATCACAAGAGCGTATTTAATGGAAACGTCATATTCCTTTCATCAGTGAATCAAAATAATTTTTCTTGTTACCTGCTGTGCTTCATTTGCCATAAAATCATACAATCTCTTGTGCTGCACTGATTATAATGAAGTTCTAATGAGATGGTCCAGATTCCATGGGCTATAGTGTGAGTACTGGGAGAGCTACAACTTCCAGAAGTGCTGCCGTGACATTTCCCAGTTGAAACCCTTTGCATTTGGCTTTTCGAAGTAAGAGACCCCTTTATCACACACACTGTCATTCTTTGCTGTTTCTTGTTCGTAGTCAGTCAGTGTGGGGGTACACACCAAGACTGGCTTCTGAAGATGATGCCCTGGTGATGAAGAACCTCTTTGTGTAACACTCTCTCAAAGCAGAATCCCCAGTCTCCCTGCTGTAATAGCCTAATTAGACATTTCTGTCTCTCTGTTTGCAACTTTCTGGGATCCAACTGTAGTACACAAAACCAGCCAATTCATCTGCAGAGCAAATGCTATTTCCTGACTGTTTAAACAGGTACTGGCACACCATTAGTGTGGCGAGTAACACACATCTCTTGTGGCCTTTCAGCCTACTGGCTACCTAGGATCATTAGCACTCCTTTAACTGAGGATAGCAAAAACTCAGGCTTGGGATTTGCACAGGTATTTGAGGGGTTGAGGACCTTCAGCTGCATATATACAGTCCTTCCAGCTGAAGGCATTAGGTAAGAAGGTGTTATCTAAAATGGTAATGGCCACTGACCTGTATTAGAGTTTGCTGGAGTGTGGCTAAGACATGTCATTGCTAAGATATGGGTGATGGCTGACTGAGGAACAAAACCTGAAGCAGCCACATTTCAGTGAAGCAGCTCTGTAAATACCATAGAAATACCTTGAGATGCAACAGTATAAGACCATATTTTCATTTATTCCTTCAGATTTAGTTGAGGAAGTGGATATGGAACTAAATATTGATCAAACATTATTCTAGACTAGAGTTTAGCAAACATGGAGTTAAGTAATCACTGCAATCCCTTGAACTTTGGCTAAAACTGGGCAACAGTCCTGAATCAAAAGATAATTTCATTTTCTTCTCTTTGCAAATTCTCTTCTTTATATTTTGAATTAACTTTGTCTTCACTGCAATCATGTCATGTCAATCAAGTTCAATCACAGTAGGATTGTTATGGCCACAACGGTCTAGAATATAAAGGAAGCAGGGATTGTAGGGAGAGATAGTATCTTTTATTAAACCAACTGATATAGCTGGAAATAACAATGGTTCAGACTGAAGAGTCCTCCTTCAGGTCATGTGCTTAAAGCAGAAATGAAATATTTTAAAATACTGATCCAAATGGAGACACAAGAAACAGTCTTTGCTTTGAAATTCATGAGTAGAAATTCTATGCATTCATGACAGTGAGTAAATTCCTTCCACAAAGCAGTAATCTGCTACGGTAAAATAATTCTCCTCTTCTTTTTCTGCAACAGCAGATTTTCAGGTGAGTTTCAGTGGCTTGATCCAAACCAAGCAGCAATGCCAATCCTAATTCTTCTCAGCACAGGCCAAGAATTGCTCAGCACAGTGCAAAACATGAGGAAGACAATCTTCCTTGGTACAAAGCCCTTATAATTAGAAAAGAAACATGAGCTGATATATATGTGATCATGTGTGATGCAGCTCGGTAGTAAGTTCATCTCTGTTGACTAAATACCTTAGCATCCAAGTGAAGCTGTGTAATATGCGTACTGTCTGAGTTTCCACTACGCTCATATTTACATTTCTCCTAAGCTCCCACTTTCCTGAGCCTGCACTATTGCCTGCACTCATATGTACCCAGGGCTCCGTGAGACAGCATGTTCCTGGAGGTGTGATCTGACTACTAATTCGGAGGAAGTGTCAGTTTGAACAACGCTCACCCCACCACCATCGCCTCAGACTCTCCCCTCCCATTTAAAATGCCCATTATCCATTTGCATGGAAAAGGTGAAACCCTGGCTCACGGAAGTCAATTAGCAAAGCTCCCACTGCCTCTGGAGACACAATGGTGACAGCAAGGTGACTGAGCAAGCCCAGCATACATTAAACATATACATGATTAAACAACAAACAAACAAACTAACTAACAATGTCTGGTTAAGATTGGAAGAAGAATCAGATCCTACATATTCACTAAATAAATATATGGGCCAGTGGGGGGATTTTAGTAACAATTATTGTGCATCAAGGGCTAGTTTAATTTACATGTTAATTGGATGTACTTCCAAGAGGCAATGAAGAAGAACATGCTAATGAGTTTTATGCAAACACCTAAAGGTCAAACAGTTAATGGACTTGAGACAAGAAAACCTTTCATTAAATGCAAATCAGTGCTCTTGTAAACTCTGCAACAAGGTACAGAAATCAAATAGAAAACACAAAAAGAGGAGCTCAGGTTCGGAAGTCAAAGTCTACATCTGCTTGCAAGTTGAAAGACAATGTACATTATGATAGGATGTGAAAATAAGTTCAACATCTGGCTCATGAATAACCCGATGGTTGCAAGCTCATCCTCAAACAAGTGTAAACACATGGAGAAAATAGTTAGGAACAATTCACCAGGCAGAGCCATCTGGACTAGCAGTCCCATAGCACATCTAGAGCAATCGGGAAGACCATTTTGGTTTCTTGATCAAATACTCCAGGTCAACAAAACAAAACAAAACAAAACAAAACAAAAAAATCAAAGTTTCCCCACTCCACCACTGTTCAGATATATAAACTGTGGCTTTCAGTGCTACGAAAATGTTATTGACAAAGAAATGAAATATGCAAATGAGAGAAATCAAACCTCTATCAGTAATATCATGCCAGAGTAGATGTCATATGATGTTGAGTAGATGTAGCCAAAGATACAATGTTAGTTAGTGCCTTTCTACATAAAATAGTGGTAGTTAGTAGTATAGTAGGTAGTTAGTTAGTATAGTGGTGTTTACAGTCAGTTTAATTCATATTTCAGGCATTATTTTCTTCATCATCTAACCTAGATCAAAAATTTTACTTTCATTTAAGATCCTTGGAATTAGCATATCAGTGGCAGTGTTAAACTAGAGAAACCTTTTCTTTAGTACCTTGAGGGAAAAAAAAGAAACATAATTCAGAGAAAGCTGAAGCAGGAGAACTTAATTGAGGAGAAATGGTCCACGAGGTGTTGCAAAGGAGAGAAAACTGTGTAGACTGTGCAGCACCTATGGTGGCCATCACTCACTGGCTTAGCCATTTTGCACAGAATTGGGGGAGGAAGGAGTGAGAAGAGAGAGGAGCAGAGGAAAGGGGCAGGGGAGATAAACTGCTGGCTGTTTTATCCTGTTTACTCTTTTTTACCCCTGTTTACTTCTTCCCAATTCAGCCAGTAGAAAACCTTTTAGTCTTACAAGATAAAGAGGGGAAAGGGAAGAAGAGAGTGTGAATCTCTTTGAAAAACAGGAAGGACAAAATTAGCTTACCAGCTTTTCAAAATTAACAAGGTTATCCAGAAAAGTTTTATTTCCTTCGTGGATGAATGTTACATCTAAAAAAAAATAAAGGAAAAAGAATTATTTTTTATGTCTTTGTTATTCCAACAAAAAAGTAAAATGACTAAAAGGAAAACATCCCATTAAGGACTGACCCAATACCTTACAACAGGGGAACAAAAGCCTGGTACAATGACATGCAGAGATTATTGGACAGCAATATTAGGTACATGTTGTAACCAGAGGATTTTCAAGTGGGAGCACGGATTTCTTCTTAAACCTGGTCTGTGTTACTTGTGGGGCACATATCATACAATGTCTGGGAGCAGGTGGGGGCATCCAGAGGGATGGTCCTGCATGGCGTGCCTCCTCTCCCCACCCTGTGGCACCCAGCCGGCCACGCCGCCCGCGGCTGTGCTCGGGCTGGGGCTGGCCGGTCCCTGAGCCCAGAGCTGCACTGGGGCAGAGCCACCAGACGCTGGAGTCGGCTCTGACACCCCGTCGTCTCTTGTTGTGGGACATGGTGACTCTGAAGTCCCCTGCAGAGATGTGGGCTACAGCAGTGGCTGGCCAGAGAGATTACACGGAAGACAGCAAACTGAAGTTCAAAGCCTTAAAATAAGCATTACGGCTAGGGAAAAAAAACCCAAAACATTTTTACACAGGGTTGTTGGAGAGAATTTGCAAAGGCAACAAAAAGGTCAATGAGAGGAAAAGGAAAAGGTCTATATTTGGCTCCAGGAAGGGAACGGAACACAGTGGGATCAACTGGAGGCAGGGGAAATATCAGGCAAAACAAATGTTGCTAAGTTAAGATTATAATTAAAACAGTAACTTGAGGTCATTGTCTCCATTTTTCTAATGCATTTTAGGACACAAAGCAAGACCTATCTTGGACATGAAGTTCCAAGGACATGGCCAGACTCCTCGTGGGGACTGATGCTCTGCCTCCAATAGTGCATCCTCCGGGTCACTGAAAATACTAACAGGAGCTCCGTCACCATACTGTACCCTGCCAGCTCTCTCCTGGATGTGTGGGTACCCAGGAGCACCAGGAGGAGACAGCGCTGGTGTCATGAGATGGCACTCCCATACCAGTACTTCTTAAAAGTCACAGCAGGCACACAGCAAAGAGGCAACGTCTCTCTCTTGGCAGAGGTGCCAACCTCCAACCCACCAGCCTCATGGTGCATCTCAGCATTTCTCCTGTGCTCATCTCCAGGACCCCCTCTGATGCCCCCTCGGTGCCCCTAGTTTCGGGGGATTTTGGGACTGGGAACCTGCAGCTGACACTGGGGGGCTGCTTTGTCACTCCCCGCCACTGCTTCATCCTCCCCCAAAACAGCCAACCTGATTTATTTCCTTTTGTTTCAAAGGCTCACTCTGTGCCCGAGGGGCATTTTGTAATTGCTTAGGATGGAAATGTTAATGGTTTCATACGCTGGTGGAAACCCAGGGCTGGGACTCATTAAGCAGAGCTGTGCGTGAGGGGTGACGGGGAGCTCCCGCACCTCCGGGGCAGCTGGGCTGGGGTCTGCTTTGGGCAGGCAGGACGCCAGCCTGGCCACGCAGGACGCCAGCCGGCACTCCGGAGCAAGTGGGGCAAGCATGGGATATGCTGGGGATGCCTCCAGCACCTTTCTGCCCCTGGGCAGCATCCTAAAAATCAGGGGGAAAGGAGGGAGCGGAACCCTCTGCACCTCCTCTGCCGGGCTGCTTTGGGGCACCCAGGGAAAGAACACGGCTTCAGGACCCAGGCATTAGTCGTCTCTATATCAATGCAGTTAAAAACCATCTGCCACTTCCAATGAAAAAACTTACACTGGAAGCAGAAATTTCCACACAGGTTTTCAAGTCAATGACAGCAATGTGTATATCTCTGAGGTGGAAGGAACAGAAATTTGCTTTGCAGCCAACAACTAAGAGTGTAGATAAATTCAGTGGAGCAGAAAATTGCATCTGAGCTATGTTGTAAGGGTACATCACAGTATTTTATTACATATTTGAAAAATCTGCCTGATTTTCAAAAGCTGTGTCTGAGTGCCGTAAGAGAGCTCTGCATTTAAATTTAATTAACTTTAAAAGGACACTCTAAAGCTATTTTTCATAATTAATGAAAGGTTATTAATGATTTTCAGGGGTTTTTTTTGAAACTACTTTTATCCCTCTTGTGTTGAAATGCAGTAATTTGTTGAGTTACTAATGATTTCTATGTCATCAATGCTTATTTTACTGGTCTTGGAAATAATGTTAATATAAACAGGCTTGACCTGGAAATAAAGTCCTACGTACTGTGCAATACTTTAGGAATTGCCAACCTTGGCAACATCTCCTTATGGGTCACTGTACTGAAGAAGATTACTGTATTATTTTGCAAAGTCTCCTTGCTATCTCCAATACATTCTAGGCACAAATGCTGCTTACGTGCATGTTCTTATACACCATATTATAGCGGTGAGCAAACATCATTGCTACAAGTTACTTTTTTATGTTTGCTGCCTGTGTTTGCAGGCAAGACATACTCCAGAACAGTTAAAAAAAAATGATTTTGAAGCCTCGATAATTGTATCCATCTGAATTAATGCAAACTCCTTTGATGTGTGCAAAGAGGGGAAGTGCCTGATGGCTCCCAAACTGTCACCGACTGATCTGGAGAAACGTCTTCAAACATTTCTAACTCACAGCAGCAGCAGGTTGGAATAAACAGCCTAAAGAGAACAGTTTTGGAATACAGGAATAATCAAATGAATTTGTGGTGTTCAAAGACAAGGCAATTAATAATTAATGACTCCAAGACAATGGGATTATTTGAAATACCTGCCACTTACTTAGCTGCCCAGCTCACTGTGTTAAGCAAGTAGTTTTGGTTTGGTTTAATTTTTTTTTTTTAATAAGTTGTTTTTTTGTTTTTTTGTTTTTTTTAAATCTCTTTCAGACCTATAAGAGACTTGACAATCCCCTCGTCCCAGGACAGACAGATGGGGCAGGTTCTGCCTTCAGGATGACACCTCGGAGCAGCAGCGTGGCCGAGGCCGGTTGTGTGGGTGCGCCCAGCGCAGCCCCCTTCACCGGCGTTCTCCACCGCGGAGGATGCGGCCAGAGCAATGGCACACGGCTCTACCCATGCCTGACAGGAAGGTACTGAAGTCTGAAAAGCTGTGTGATTATTGCCACCTTCCCCCATCTTAAAAGGCAGCCGTTTGTTATCCAGACCGAGCGCTACCTTGCGGATACCACTACACCTGCCACATACTTATCATAAGGCCACCTGAAGGAAAAAAATCACCTTACACTTATGTTAATTAACCACAAAGAAGAGGAGCAGCCAAGCTTTAACATTACCTTTCAGAAGTAAGGGCATGAAGGGGATTTTCGGAGATTTCATTTTCTTGAATGCATCTCTGTAAGCTTTGTGATTCAGAGACGGGTCCTACAAAACCATTTGGGTAATAGAGAGAAAAATCAATAGGCTATAAAAAGAGCAATTCTAAATCCATTACGGGCTTATGATCTGAACATGATTTAGATATAAAATGTTTCTTCAGGAAACAAGGTAGATAGAGGTTTTCTAAGCTAGGTGACTTACTGAACTGAACAGGAAACGTAAACAGTGAAAGGAACAAAAGCAATTACGTTCCTCTAGATGAAGCAGTGCTAAAATGGGAGTAAGCAGCAGAACAGATTCACTGGGACTGCTCTCTAATTTCCCCACAAATTTCTATTAACAAAATCTCTTCAGCTTACTACCTAGCACAAAATGTATCCCGGAATGTATCGCTGGTTAATTTCTTCTTAAAAAACCCTCATATCAAACAACAACAACAAAAAATCCCAATAAAAACTGCTCTCAGATCAATGGAGCATATTGGACATTTTCAAAGACAGTAAGAGAGTATGTTTCAGTGGCGTTATGCAAGTTAATTCAAAAAATCATCTCCATTTCCCATATAAACGAACATTTTTGTACACCAACTCACACACAATCTTGAAAGCACATTAATTTATAAAGGACTTGAAGTACAGAAGCGTGACAACTGTTAAAGGCTGCATCTCATGTTCCCCGCGCCAGGCGCTGATCTCACCACGCACCCACTTCCACAACAGCCAGAGCAAACACTTGCTTATTCAGCCTTGATAATGGTGACAAAGACCCGTAGCCTCAGATTTTTTTTTTTTTTTTTTAAATAAACTTCAGCTGTCCTCCTTTTCTCCTGATCCGCAGCACGTTGCTTTGGATAAAGGCTGATTAACCACCAGAGCAAGAGAACAGCTTCCAAATAGATGCTGGGGAACTGACACTACATTTGCCTCTCTCTGCCCTTCCTCCAGCTGTCAGGGAGGCAGCCTTTTTCTTTTTCGTGTTTGGAGACCACCTCTGAGCTCTGGAGGGCAGCGTGCTCTTCGGCAAATCACAGATCTGACATGACAAGTTCCAGCCCCAGACAATGACAGGCAGCCTCCAAATAAACAGAGAAGGCGGCAGGCAGGTAAAGACAAGCAATGCCGTCCTGCTGTCAACGCCATACTCACCGTCAAACTTTCAAGTTCAGTGAAAAGCTTCTTGAACTTCCCAGGAATTTTCTGAAGCGGGGAAAACAGAGGAAAAAAAGTAAAGTTGATTAAAAAAAAAAAACAAAACACCCATAGAAAAATGCTGAGGCATTTTTTTCCATGAGACTGTCATGTGTGAAGCACCTGCTCTAAGTACCAACAGACCACTTTCTCAGCCAGATAACCTCCGCACCTCCGCTCCTCGGCTCCAGGAGCCCCAACTACAGACCGTGCTCGGTGCGGTGCCAGCGAGGCACCAGTCCCTGCAGCCTCGCCTTGGGGACCTGCATCCTTCTTCTACGGAAACTGCTTGTTAGCAGCTGTTTTTATCTTCTTCCCTAGCTTCCACGTCTGATGAATTTACCTTAACATCCATATCAAGGTAGAAGCAGTAACACAGACTGAGAATTCAGATATTGTGATCACATCCAGGTTAAATAATTTGTTGTAATCAATCTTCCCCTGAAACATGGGTTCTAGAAACGAACAGGCATAACGCTCAGTGCTGTTTGATACACCGCCCTCAGGGCTGACCAGTATTACCACTGGCACATGGTGGTGCCAGCGAAAGAAAACTTTCCTTAAAAACCAATTACTCCACCTCTGGTACGTTATCCCAATCCCACCAGGAGGTACACAAAACACCTTCCAATGGAGCCCAAGCACACACTACCTTCTTGCTCCATATGATACCTGCTCTGCTCCACATGCATCTGCTTCTTTTTGTCTCTAAGATGCTCTCATGGATGCACCTCATTATACTCAAAGCAATAGTTCTTCAGTTTGAATTTTGCTGCTGGTATTTCAGATGAAGAATGGTGTGTGGACCTTAAAGCCTGCCTATTTCTTCTAACCATGCTAGTTAGTCTAGTAAAAGATATCCCCTCTTAGTACAAATCCTGTCTTGCCTTTGTCCTTAGACCCTGACAGCCACAATGACACTACCAAGAGAAAAGAGATATAGAACAATTAAGATTAAGTGGATGTGCTGTATGATTAAAATGCTAAAATAACTAAACATGGAATTGCAATTGCACATTTTAATATCTTCAATCAGGGAAAATTAGGCTCATTAAAACGCTGCATAGTGTAGAGAAAAAGTTGTAAGAATATGCTTGGGAGCATACTACTTGTTTAAGAATTCAAGTGCAGAGACAATATAATTTAGTGTCTAAATGGTTGCTTAAATTTAGGTGGCTTCATTTACATGTGTAAGTAATTATAATTAATTTATAAACATTGCTCTACTTTCTACAAGTCACATTACTAATGCAAATAATCTTCTGCTTTTGAAATTTCCAGTGCAGTGAAGTTTTACAAATAAGAAAATATGCATGTGACTTCATAAATATTTTACACACAGAAATGCAATGTATTCACAATGATACATATGCAGATGCACTCCTTGTTCCGACAAGCAATACGTTCTGCTCTTCCTGAGAGAAGTCCACCAGCAGCACATGATCTCCAGAGGTGCCTACGGGTGCCTTTGATACAATATCTAGTCCCTTCCACTCTCCTACCAAAGACCAGAGAAATGCGATGAAGGCAACCTGCAAGAGTGGGCAAGGGCAAATGTTCCCTAGAAGGGTGTTTTAGAAATACACCTTTAGAAAGGTGTTTCTGTATTGTCATCCTCAGGTATGTATTTTTCTCTAAGATTTTTGCTTTATCTGCTATTTAAAGTTAGCTGCCCTTGCCTATTTGAGTCCCTGTAAACTCCTCCCTGCCAAAGCAGTCACTGCCCTTGTTTCTCTCTGTGCTGAAGCCACTGACATACACAGTGATGTTTCCATATGCATCATTTCAGCTAAGGGGGAAGTTTTTGCTCTGGACAGTGTCAGATAGGTTTGCAACTCTCTGATGCTGTGCTGGTTTTGGCTGGGATAGAGTTAATTTTCTCCATAGTAGCTAGTACGTTTTGGATTTGTACTGAAAGCAGTGTTGATAACACGGGGATGTTTTTGCTATTGCTGAGCAGTGCTGACACGGAGTCAAGTCCTTTTCTGTTTCTCCCCCCCCCCCGCCAGCGAGGAGGCTGGGGGTGCACAAAAAGTTGGGAGGGGACACAGCTGGGACAGCTGACCCCAACTGACCAAAGGCATATTCCATACCATATGGTGTTATGCTCAGCATATAAAGCTGGGGAAGAAGAAGGAAGGGGGGACACATCTGGAGTTACGGCATTGTCTTCCCAAGTAACCATGACACGTGATGGAGCCCTGCTTCCCTGGAGATGGCTGAACACCTGCCTGCCCATGGGGAGTGGTGAGTGGATTCCTGGTTTTGCTCTGCTTGTAGGTGGCTTTTGCTTTCCCTATTATACTGTCTTTATCTCAACCCAGGAGTTTTCTCACTTTTACTCTTCTGATTCTGCCCCCCATCCCATTGCGGGGAGTGAGCGAGCAGCTGCACGGTGCTTAGCTGCCGGCTGGGGTTAAACCATGACAGGTGGCCACTTGGTTTCTGCTGGTGGTGCTCAAGAGTATCTCCAAGTCAGGAGATCACAGGCTGGTATTTTTTGAGTACTGCCTGCTTGTGGTGTTGGGGGCATGAAGCTTCACCCCATCACACTGTATTACTCCTTCCCCAATTTTTGGTTCATCAGCAGATATAGTGAGCTTGCAGATACTGCCACTCAATAATTTACTTAGATGAACAAAAAAATCCACAATATAAACACAGATCCCAGTGGGACCCTCCTCTAAATATCCCATGCTCTGTCTAGCATCTGGTAGCTTCTTTAGCAGATAATCACTGTTCTCCAGTATGCTCTTATTCATGGTCCATTTCCTAACTTTGCTGTTCAAGATCAGCAGCTGCAAAAGAGCTGATAAAGGAGAGTTAAAGAGGGTTTATTTCTATTTTGTATTTTTTTTAAATTAAATTATTCCATAATAAGGTATTGCTTGCTTGGAGTGACCTTTATAAGACTTTCTGTTCTGACATCTACTTAAAATGCAAGGATAATTTACCTGACTTCTTTTGTTTGTTTGTTTGCTTTTTGTTTTTTAAAGAGGGTAAGATCTCCTTGCTCTTATTTAAAAGCTCTGGAAGAACACATTTAGTTTTATTTGAATAGCTGTGTATCTCATGTTTCAGTTCACAAAAGTTTCTCTATTGACACTCGTTCCTTGTTTGATTTCAGCATAAAAAAACAATAATCAGAAAGAAAAGGTAATTCACCAGTACACAACCTCTGACAGAAATGGTTTTGACAGGGTCTGAATGATACAAAGACATGTCTTACCTCCCAGGTCTGAGACAGTCGGCTGACAGATGCAGTGTTGAGACCCATAACAATAGCAAAGAATGAATTCAGATTTCTTTGGGCTTTACAGCTGTGGAATAAAAATATGAATACTGTATTATGATATTTTGTACTCGGAATCAGAGATAAATGGAATGCACAGGTATCCTAGGTTACTGAGTCCCATTTCAACTCTCAGCACTAACATACAATCATCTTCCACATAATGAACTCATTAAATGTCCTCTCATGACCACCTGCAGTCTAGGTGATGGGGTGTCTAAGAAGTTTTTTAGCAAATGTTCCACTGTCTCATCAACCCTGTTGTTGGCAGGTAATTTTTTTTCCCTTTGCTGTCAAAAGTAATTTTCCCTTTTCAGTGTTCAAGTTACTCTCAGCTGTCCTTTACCATACAGAATAATTTCTTGACCTCTATTCTGTTGTATTATAAATATTTTCATCCCCTTTTTCATCTTTTCTGTAAATTGTACATCACCGGTTCCTTCAATTTCTCTCTGTGGTCATGGCCTGCAATCTCCTTTTCCATATTGTTATTATCCTTCATTGAATTCTTTGTCATTTATTTTAACTTTTCTCTCATGCATTTCCTTCTTATCAAGGAAGACAGTGGGGAGAGAAGGATAAACATAATTACCATTTTGGCTCTAAGTTCTTACACCTTTCTCCTATGCAAGTATAAAACAAATATCAAATTATTTATTTGGAACAGCGTCACACTTTGTCCTTGCCTTTAATTTGTCATCTATTATCACCCAAAGACCTTTGTCATAGTACTGTTCTTTACAATCACGCATTTATTTCTTCAGCTCAGTATTAGCATTCCCTAGCTGAATTACTTTGCATCTATCTAAATTAAATCTTATCCCACTGTTGTTTGCACATGCCACCAGACTCTTCAGATAATTCTTTTTTTTTCTATCCTCCAATGCATTTGCAATCCCTCATCATTTTTATTGTCTGAAAATCTGATTAATGTTCAATTTACATATCCCTATAAATTAGTTGCAGTTAGCACTGGTTCCAATACAAGTCCCTAAGGAATTTGCTTGATACCTCTATTCTTTGACATTTTATTATATATGGCAAGTCCCTCTTATTTCTAGTCCATTAGGAAATTTGAAATCCTGAAATCCTGAAAGATCAAGTCCTTTTCAAACAAAAAGACTCCCCTTTCTCTTGCAGATTCTTGAAGACCACTATAAACATATGTGTGCATGCATGCGTGAGTCTGAGAATCCTCTTTTAAGATAATTTTAAGTACCAATGAATCCATTGCCTTCACTGGGATTTATCATCAGGGAAAAGTACGTGCCAAGGCATTAGACTGGAAACACGCCAACACTTGTTACAAATTTTATAAAGCTTGCACTCATCGCTGCGTACTATCTTGAGATGGTGTATTTCTCACGTCACTTCAGCTGTCTTAAAGTTAATCCTAATTTTGTTGCTTAGACTCCTTTTATCATTACCCTCAGGCAGCTCCCACAGGTAATTTATTCTAAAACAAGAAAGGTGTCCAGCACAGCTTGGATAAAGTCTCTATTGGATGGGCCCATTTCTCACAAATAACTGTAAAGAGAAGGTACATCTTTACAGTCAGCCACCGCTTGCGAAGCAAGAAGGCTGCTGCTGTAATACGTTTATTCTAACCCTACGTTAATGTGTTTCTATTACTCCTCAGGATGTTTATTTCTAACAACATGCTAATTCATTCTCTCTATCGAATCACCTGTTTTCTATTTTGGACTAGCTCATCAACAGAAGCATAGGTATCCAGGTTCCAAACACTCTGTCTCTCCTTTACGTATTGACACGCTGTGTAAAAGCCTTCCATCTTCTTCAGGTGTTCCTCAACAACGAAGCACACAAACATTGAACATGAGACCTTAGTCCTCGTGCTTTACCAACAAGCTGGAAGTCAGAGATACAGATTCCTGGCCGAATGTGGGAGCAGAGAACAGGGAGCAGCCAGAGCTGCTCGCAGCTTCCTACCTCTCTGCCTTAGTCATACACAAAATAGCAGCGCTGCTTGGCTTGTGCCTCATGATGAGAGTCCTGTGCCTGGCACACCATCCCTCCACCCTAATTGTTGCTCTTCCCTCTTTCATCAACTCTTCCAGAATTGATGACATATGATAATGTCTTCTTTTAGAAAGATGCTTTTCCGACTAAAAAAAGATCTTGAAAAAACTAAACGCTTACTTATTTGTACATCCATTACTTCGCAATCTACACACTACAATGATGGGTGCTTGTGCAATGCCCTGGGAGAACCTCTCTACCATTTACTGACAACTGTATTTAGTCTCCACAACTTTGGCTTTTCACTTAACAGAGATGGAATTAATTCAAATAGAGCAACATTTCAGTCTGGTGACAAATATATCCCTATTCATGTGGGATAGACATGAAACTTTTCTTGGAATGCGAATTAATGCTACTGTGGTGCAAGGCAGGCACACAGAACCAACCATTTTTGACGCAATTGGACCAAGCTTGGTCATTGATGAGGCAAAAAATTAATGTATTATTGGATACCATACAACTTGCAAACTAAATCAAATCACATTTATAAGTTACACTAGATTAGATTAGAAGAATTCATTTCACCAAAGGCACTGCTTCAGCAGAGAACGGTCCTTTCTATGTAAATCTTGCAAATTAAATCAACCCAGTCGATGAAGGAACAAATTATACATTTTCCACGAACATGCATATTCAAATATTGCCGAAGACCAACAACTAGAGAGAGAGGTGAGGAGAATGGTTGCACATATTTAAATTGCTCCTTTCCCTTGGTTACTAAAACAAGAGAGATTACAGAGAAAAGAACTCTCTGTGTATAGTATACATTTGTATTCTGTTCCAAGGCATAGAATAAAGGTCAGCACTATTTAGTAATTGACATACACTAGTAATCTTAGTGCAAGAATAGACCATCAAACATAATTAATGAAGAACTCCCCCCTTCAATAAATAAAAGAGTACTCCAGAGAGGACAACATGGGACAACAGCTTACTGTAGCCAGTTTCCCCTTTAGAGGTAGGGCTTTCAAGATTATAACAGAGTTGTTTGGTTTCTGTGCAGTCTTTGGTGAATAACTGTGTTGCTACTCTAATAGTTTTTTAATACGGTCTTCAGGTTACCTCTGCTAAGAAAGGAGGTATCTCTGCACCATCAGGGATTTTGCAGCTGATGCTGCAGATACAGTGGCTAAGCTGCTGGGGAAGATATGAGCAACATATATTCCACCACGTCTAGTCTTGGCCCGTGTTTGCTGTTGTTATTTATGGACTGTTTTATCTAAGCATGCTTACTACACTGTTAAAACATGGGATGACAAAATCTTTTCTCTTGCTTTTTTTTCTTTGCGCTTGCACCTACTTCTCCTTCCCCACCAAATAATGCATGTGAACACAAGGATTTCTGCTGCAACTGTGGTAACTTACTGGGCAGCAATCTTGATGAACTTTTTGACTAGCTGTACACGTTTGCAGAGCTGGCTGCAGAGGAGTATCTCGGTGGCGACCCAAAGCTGGACCTCGTTGCACCTTTGAAGCAGAAGACTGAGATTCTCGGTGTTTTCAGCACTGCCCTGTCTGCTGAACGTGAAGTATATCAGCTCTTGCTGGAAGACATTGACAACATTATTCAGGATATAAAAACAGTTTAAATGTAAATGAATTGTAAATTACTTAGAAGTATGTTTTTGAAACAAGACTTGGTTACAGACACTTATTTTTTCATTATCCATGAGTCAATCACAAATGATTCAGGGTCCAGATTTGGCTTAACAAAGTCTAGAGGCAGGTGGACTGGAAGTCCTGCAAGATGTGCTTTTCTTGTGAGATTTCCTGCAATTCCACTTCTGGTGACAGCCAGATATAGCACATAAGCAATCTGTTTCTTTCTGTATTTCATCACTTCTGTTCCAGTATGAAAAAGCAACTATATCAGTCCATTGCAGAATCTGAAAAATTTCCATTCAAATGTCTTCCTAAAAATAGCCCAGATTTCAGGAGAGGAGGCGTAGGTATTGATTTCTGCAAAAAAACCCCTTGACCGGTGCTATTTAAAGTGTCTAACCTGAATAAAAGAACCTGAAATGAAAGATCAAGGAAAGCATCTGATGAAAAGCAAGGGAATTTCCCATTCATTTTCTCAGAAAGCCACCATGCTTTTCAGTGAATGATATTTTCAGTGACATTTTGTACTGTTAACTGTGTATTTTACTCAGCAGCTCACACCAGAAACTATCAAAGCCATTGAAACAACCCAATGGGCACTGAAGTGGGCCATTATCCCATTTTATAAAGCCTGCCCAGTATTTTTTTACCTCACTGAAGCCTAACAAGAACAGTAATGTGACCATCTAAACTGCTGAAACTGTGAATTCTTTTGTGATTAAAGTGACATCAAGGACACCTATTTGTGGAGTCCTATATACACTGGAACATTATGGAGTGCAAAGAACAATTTGCATATATAACATGTTCACACAGACAGTTTTTAGAGAATAATCATATTCTTTTACTGTCTGAGCCAAATTTCAACAAAACCCATCAGGTATACAGGGAAGACATGAGATGTCCCAGCCCAGGGAAGCTACAAACCTTTGACAAATTTCTTCAGAATCAAGGATTGCAACACATCTCTTGGACCTGATTCAATGCCACTACTACTGAGAGCTGCCAAATCATATTGCCATGATGGTGAACTGAGAACCAAGGAACACTGATGCTCCAAAATGCTGGTGCAACGTCAGGAAATCATAACGGCACAATGCAGCATGAGAGTAACATACCTGGAAGTGGACATAGTGCTTCTTACCTCATGAATTGCATTGAAGAGGCTCCAGTCAAAGTTTGTTAGTTCTAAGGCAAGATCCCAGGTGTTGATTCCCAAAATTCTCACAGACCTTTGCTGCAATTCCTCGTTTTCAGCAAACGGGTTCTAAATCAATAGCCAAGAACAAAAAGATCCTGAGCAAATGCCAAAAGTTCTGCAATGAAACAGCTACTGGACCAAAGTGCGAAACAGCCAAGTAAGTAATCTTCTCTAAGTGCATTCTGAGGGTTTTCCCCGCCACTAATCAAAATCAAGGAGTTACAGCTTATTTAATAAATAGCTTGAAAAAGGAAATGGGTCAATAGGCTCAATGACTTCCTATTGGATTATGCCTCTGCTTCTGTCTCTCTTTCTCTACACCTTCGGTATAAAACACTGACCAAGCAGACAGCATGATGAAAAAATAAAATCCCTGAAACCACCAGAAAATAAAAACTGAATTAAGACACCAGGAAATTTTTGTATTATAAGATAAAGGAATCATTCTGCAAACGCACCGGATTGAGAATAAATACACGCAACTTGCCCACCAATCCACCCTTAGAAAGAACATAAATCCATCCATTTTATGATTAATTTACTCCAAATGTAATCACCAACAAACAGTAAAACACTGTGGGTCCTAATTCATAAAAGTTACTTTGCATATTTCTGTAAAGTGCACTGGTACTGCTGGTATTAAAGGTCATTTGACATTTCCATTATTAGCTCGGATTTTCAGAGGTTTTGGAGGCTTGGGGTTTTTTACTTCATCAGGCTGAAACTTGGCACATGAACCATCTGCCAAGATGAAAGATTATTCTTATCAGTTAAACCATTACTTTGGTGCTATATTTCTGACAGCTGCAGCAAGTTTTGCAATTTTTATTACATAACTAATGAAACTAGATTGGCTGTCACCTGTCTGTACTGGAAACCTTCCCTTAATATTCGCATTTTTAGAGATGGCTAGAACGCCGGAGATAATGGGGATGACAGATTACAATGATAGCGGTGTGTCAGCTCTTCGGGGCACAACCAATCCAACAAAATGTAAACAGACATTTCTCATCCCTAGGATGAATGCACAGATCCTAGTGGTACTGACAACGTGTAGAAGTCAGTTGCGATACCATCCCTGCGCTTTCCTCGAAATGTCTGCATAATTAGCAGAAAACTATTGAAAGAGTAATTCTTTGAGTGCCTGACCATTCCTGCCTCATTCAGGTTTTGGGAAATCATGGGGAAAGAGAGTTTGCAATCCCAGCTTCTGAGGACAGAGGGAACGAGACAGACCTGCCGCCCTTCAACCTGCTCCCCTCCCCAGCACCAGCGAGAGGATGGAGAGACAGACAGACGGAAGGGAAGAGGACATACCACCAGCGATATATGCCAGCCACAGGCTGACCATGTGGCTGCCACAACACTGAGGTCACACTGATGCCCAGCAATTTTGGTAGAACTCACGTGACATCTATTTCCACATATAGCAGGTGCGCGGCGTTTGTCCGTCACCTTGTATGATTATGTACCAGCCACCAAAGGCACAAGGTGGTGGTGGTGGAAATTTTTTTAAAAAAAAAAAGAGTCACACAGGCCCTGAATAATCCTCATCCCATCCCATTCTGCACAAGCACAAAGTCAGCTTTTCCAAGCTGATATAGATTGAAAGATTTAAGCTGTACAGAAGCTTTGGTCTATTTGAAATTGATGAACAAATTCCATTACTGTTCAGTAACCGCTGTTAATGCAAGTAAAGCTCAGTAAGCTTTATAAGGAAGCAAAAAATAAATTCCGTATAGAAAAAGCTCTCTGAGAGGAATATTAAGTTCTCCATCCGGAGTCAGACAAATAAAAAATGGGAAGTGTACAATACAGATCCTTACCAAAGAATCAGTCAGATCTTTTCGGTAGACAAACATACGACTGGATGACTCAAAAGATTTTGAGATAGCCAAGTCATTTGGTTGTAGTTCATGTTTTTCTGTAAAAACAGAAAACAAAACACAAACGCTTCAGTAAAGGAGTAAAAACTGTATAAAAATGAGAAAAACATTACAAATATATTTGTAAAGCTACATCAACTTAGAACGTAACTGAAGATCAAATCCAGTCCCTATGGGGACAATCACCTCCACATTATTCAGGCACAATAAAGGTGAGATGTCTCTGATGCTGGACTAGAGCACAAAAACTTCCAGCATCTGCTTTCAACCTGGACTTCACATAGGATAGAACAGAAAGAAACCCTCAAATCATCCAGTCTAACATCCTATGCATTACAGAACATTTCATTTCAACCCAGTGTATTTACTGTAAATGTAGTGACTTTAGAGCAAAGTGTCTTGACCTCCAGAGGTCTCATCAATAGCCACAGCCATTCGACAGGAAAAGAAGTTTAAAGGATGCCAATGCCATGAAATTCACCTCACGGTGCAGAGCTGAAGAGTACTTCATAGTATGGTATTTACAGAAATTTCTCTAGGTCTAGAGTAATTCATTTAGGAAACATCTGAGTAAAAGAGCAGGATACACCAAACCAGTAACAAAGAGAAAGGACTTTTTTTTTCCCCCCACTCAAGAGAACTGGTACAGCTCTAGGCAATCTGGGATGCATCAGAGAAAGGTGTAGGGGAAAAAAAAAACAACAACAACCCCGAACACAGCTAAAAGACTGCCCTGGTAAAACTGTCTCTTCCTGCGGGCTCCAAGTTGTCTTCTGGAGACCTGACACGTGAGATCTGATTACAGTGATTGTATTAATGTAGACCCAAAAGCACTACATGAGGGAAGAGTAGGACCAGGAGGAGTCTGAGAGCCAAACATCATTTCAGACTGTTTTCCCTCTTTTATCCATGCTCACACTGACACCAGATACATTTATGTTGAACTACCAGTATGTGTTTTCAAGGTGATTTTGAATAAAAAGAGCTTGCTTGTTCATTTCAGGAGAACAACAAAAACGCATTCTCCAACGCTCAAACTGCCACCCTCCAAGTGGGCAGCAGATGACAGTTCTGAGTCATGCAAACAGCAAAAAAACAAAGAAAAAAGAAAGCATGGCAGGCTGGTGTTTATTGCTCGTAGCACAGGAGTGACAATGCATAAGAACAAAAGATACTGAAATCGTGGTATCTCAAATCAATTCAGGCAACGTGACTAAATAACACTTCGGGGGTTACAGTGGTCCCGTACAAATGACAGTCCTATTGTACCTGTATTTTAATTACTGTTTCTTATTGAACAGCTAAGTGGCAACCACTTCTATTGTGTGGCTTTCTTGGGAATCAATGTGGTCTAAAGATAATAGGGTGTTTCATTACTTATGAATTGTGGGTTTTCCTTAGCTAAGTAGGCAGTTAGCATCAGATTTATTGCTATCAGAGCAAAACTTGCCCTGCTCTTGCAACAGGAGTGCAAGACCTGAAAACCAACAGCAGGCACAACAATTTTCCAGTGCTGTAAAATGCACTGGAGGCGAGCTTGGGCACATGCAAGGGTAAAAAGAATATGCCTTCAAATGATGTAGCCCAGCTGGCCAGGACACCTACGTGTAATGCTCCTGTGCGGCCACTCCATGCCCAGGCTCTCGACAGCCAGAGCAGGGCACCATCTCCCTGCCACCCACACTGGTGCCCTGCAAAAAAATGGTTATTTAATTGAGCTCAGCATGGAGGCGAAAAATGTGACCTTCCACTTCTGAATCAAATAAATAAACAGAACAAGCCAGCACTTGTGTGTATTTCATTTAACTAGACTGACAAAGCAATGAGCACTGTATCTCCAAGGGTGCTTCCTTTGTCCCAGGGGATGGACACCAACTAATGGTATCTGAGAATACGGCCAAGATATTCTACTCTTTTAGCCCCTTTTTGTAGATCCAGCTTTGCATTTCTATGCAGTTAGTTAACTTGCTGCCTTTATATTCCCTAAGAGCCAAAAGAACCAAACAAGCAAAACAATCTGACCAAAGAGCTTGAGACCTGCCAGACACCAAAGAAAATCTTGGTGGGGTTGGCTGGTCCCTAGTATCAGCCCATGATCAGTCTGGTCTTCCTTAAAAAAGACAATAAGCCTTTCTGTTCAATGAGAAACACTACCGGAATAGGCAAAAAATGTCAGTTGTAAGCCAGACTGCTTACAAAGTATTGCTTAGATTGCTCCCAGTATCGCAACTGTGCAAATATGTCTCCCTCCTTTCTGCTGGAGAATATTAATTACCCATGCCATAAATGAGGAAACAGCCACGCATATAGTATTTGTTATTCCCTTTTATATTTTTAAAGCAAACCATGCCTCATCGCCTTCCAAATTAATTTAAATGTGAAAGTAGGAGATTTATCTGTGGGAAAAAATTAAAATCCTGCAATACTGCTGGAGACTGAGAGTCCTTTGCACTCCCTTCCCAGCGAGGAGATGCCATATCCAATGGTACCCAAGAATGAGCTGTTGCCATGGAAACGACTCTCTGGGAAGCAGCTCCTCATTGTTCCCGTGGTCATCCAGCTGTGGGCCCGCACAGGAACAGCTGTATCCTTGCACCAGAAAATGTCGGCCCCCCCTTACGTGATGCACTAAAAGGTGAGTAATCAGACAAAGGGAAGTTATTTACCACCAGAGAACGTGACTGTCACCAGCGCCAACTCCTCCTCCGGGTACTGGATCTTTTCTGCTACAATCTTCAGTATCTCCTGAGCTGAAGTGGATACTTGAGCTTTCACACTGACGTAGGAGTGCTCCGTTATATGCACACGGCAGAAAACTGCACAAAGGAAGACACACACACACTCAGCAGCCGGCAGCGACACCTGAGCAGAGCAGGGGAGAATCTCGCAGACCTGACCATGGCAATGCCCCAGTAGCCTGGCGGCTGCCGCACCCTGACCTACAGGGACGTGAAACTAAGCACAAACATCACCATTTTCCCCCTTCCAACCTCCTGTCCCTGGGAAATGAGAGGGCCGAGTAAATGGAAACAGAGACCCCATAGCCACATTTCAACAATACCTATTTAAGACCTCCCACTGTGAGGATTTGTCATGGACAACCTCCGCTGCTGCCTCTCTTCTTTCCCAAATTCAGCTGTTGCCATCTTTTCCCCCTTTTTAAGTTTAGGTCAATCACCGTCCTTAGTGTAAATTTCATATCCGCTGCAGAAATTATTTTGGACCTCCACTTCCACCTAGAACAGGAGGCTGCGCAAGCTCCCCTGGTCTTCAACCACTCCCACTGGCTTATCTGTCTAGACATCTAAAGACTTGCACTGCCAGGGTATTTTAGCACTAGTAGAGGCTGCCCAAACAGCACTGCAATTAGTTCTGACAACTCTTCCCCTGAACCACTGCAGCACACATAAAAGAGGCTGGTTTGGAGAAATTCCATGGGCTCATCACTTCCACTGAAGTCCGTGAGTTGGTCCAGCTCCGAGGGGGAGATTCCCAGCAGTAATGCTGTGGTCAGCTCAAGCAGTACTTTGTTTCTGCTACAAAAAGGGATGTACATTCCGCTCCCCCCGCTTGCCAGAATTTTAGGTTTACATCTTCTGCTGAATTTGCTGTAGCCAGTTCTTTGAAATACAGCTGCCATACTTAAAAGTGAAGAAACAGAGCTGCAGACTTGCATAAATATTTCAAAAATTACATCGCTAATAAGAATCACCACAACTCCTGGTTTCACTCACTTCAGTGCTTAATTGAACTTGCCATTTCCTTCTACTCTAGCACTTACTGCAGACAGGCTGCTACCATGTCAGCACAACACAAAACTCTTCTTCTGCAGAAACGCTCTATTTTAAAAATTATTTTTATTGACAGATGTATGTAGCAATAGCTCTTTGCTTGTCCTACAAATCTTCATGGCTTCAGGGCACTTTAACTGAGATCATGCCAGAAGTGGTTAGGAATTCTATCCTCAAGAATATCTTTTTTTTTTGTGTTGTAGTAAAGAGAAAATGAAGATGAGAAGGAAGGAGGAACTTAACATTTAACCTTGGGGAAGAAAAGTAATTTGATTTTATAATTTTTTCTTAACCTGTCTCTGCTGACAGACAGTAAATCAAGATGCTGATCTTATGGCAGAATATCTCTTCAGAATGGATATAACTCATGAAAAGATAGAGACATCAAATTGCACTCTAAACTACTAAGTAGAAAAATAAATTTAAAAAAACCTGACAGAAATATTTGGCCTCCATATGCAGTGTGCAACACAACTTGCCTACAGTGAATTTGTCTGAAATCTCCCCCTCTCTGTCTTTCGGTAGGGGAAGATGACAGCAGTATGTTAATTTATAACTGGGCTGCTGACATATGCTTTGTTTAACTTTGAACTAAACCAACCCACAGGTCAAGTCCTCAAGCACGACCATCACATTGATTCTCCCAAAGCCTGCTTCCACACACACCTTTCAAATGTCCTGTCTGCGGTATCTATCGGCACGGACCATGTCATCTCTTCCAGGAGCCTGTGCTGCTCCTCTCTGAGACACAGGAGGGAATGCCCGTAGGGGGAAGCAGCCACAGGCTGCAGGTCTCCCTGGTAATGCTTAGATCAGGAGATAAAATGCCTCCGGTCAAGTGGCATGGTGCGGCTTGGACAAACCCATCCACTGCACCGATTCAGATGTCCATGCTCAGCATCTGTCCCTCCTCTCCCCAACTCCACCTTTGCTATTTCATTCCCTCAATCCCATCATCTTTCATGGCTCATGCTCTCGAGGAGTGAGATAAAAGCAAAGCAATTTAAGCAAGTGGCAGCTGGCCTTGCTGGGTCCTGCTCTTTCCCCTTCCATGCAGCCTGTCCCCTCTCTGGTGCCGGGACACTTCCCTCCCCATTCACCCACGAGCTGTGTCCAACTTTTTAAGAAGAACGAGGGTGTGGGTTTTCATCCAGAAATGACATTTTTAGAAGCAGCCTTGATAACATAAACCTCAAACAAACTTATACTTGAAGCACAGAAAGAGGGTATCTATCAGCAGCATGTATTGTGTGGAAAGACTTGGCATTGAAGGAGCTCAGTTTTTATTCTGTCACAAATGAGCACTAAAAATATCCTGACTCCAAGTGAACTTCCGGAGATTTATTCCCAGTGAGAAACGAAGATGTATTGTCCAAGGGCGAGACTTCCAGGTAGGAAGCCCTTCTGCCTGTTCCCTGCTTGTGTACACAGTGCTATCCTCCTCTCTGCCTCCTTCCGCGTGCAGGCGCTACTGGAGGGCGACAGCCTCACCGTGTTATCGCATTAGTAGCGAGGAAGGGAAACTGCATTTTGAAGTGGTTGACAATAAAGCGAAATGGCACCTTGCACTCCACACGGAGACGTTTTCGAGGGGAGAAGGAACTAAGGCAGGTTCCCAGAGTTAGCAGGTCCTGGCCCATTTCATGTGACAGGCTTATTCATGTACCTTCTGCGACCAAGATCTAGGTCAAGAGACCGAGAGCATGAAATAGGGCAGGAGTAACGCCTGGTGGATGGGCTGCCAGCACTCCTGGGAGGCACACAGCTCTGCTACGGGCTGCTTGGAGCAACCCGACCGGGGCAAAAAGCCCGT